TTTATCTGATTTAAAGTTGCAGAGTCTTTCCTTTGCTTCATTTAAATTAAAAGTTTGCATCGTTAATAAAACGCGACGTTCTGCTGATCGACCTTGATGCTCGGTGAAACGTTGGCAGATGTTTGGTTTGTTTGGTGCCGCAGGGAAAAGTCGTCTCTTCACAGGAATGTTGTGTCTCGTCTCATCTTGTCTGAGGTAAAATAAATTCCCCGTAATAAATCTTACAGGTACGGAAAAAACCTGCAGGTATTCAAGGTGACTAATGTTGTAAAATATGTGTTTAAGTAAGAAGCTTTTAATCCTTTAAGATTAACAGCTACTAAAACACAGTTTCCAATGTTTTTATAAACGTTTCTATTTCTTCAATCATATCTACATCAATAACTTATTTAGCTTTCTCCAATTTAAGTAGCCTTTTCATCTCTAAGTAAAAAAGCTACTTAAGAAATTAACTTTTTTGCATAAGATAGAAGTTTTTTGTTATTTTATTGCTGTTTCCACTTTAAGTAACTTTTCCATAATTTAGTTTTTCCCACCTTAGGTSACTTTACCTATTTTAAGTATTTTTCCCACTTTTAAAGAGCTTTTCTCACCTTAACTAGTTTTCTCACCTTTAATAATTTTTCCTGCTTTAAGTAGTTCTTCCCACCAGCTGTTTTCCTCTGAATTATCTTTCCCACCTTGGGTAATTTTTATTTTTTTACCATAGGTAGCATTTCCCACATTAAGTAGATTTTCCCCACCTTAAAAAGCTTTTCCAACCTTAGTTAGCTTTTCTATTTTAAGTACTTTTTCCCACCTTTCTTAGCTTTTTCTACTTTAAGTAGCTTTTCCCACCTTAATTAACTTTTTCCACCTTAAGCAGTTTTTCCCAACTTATGTAGCTTTAAGTAGCTTTTCCCACCTTAACTAGTTTTCCCCACCTTAGTTAACCTTTTCCCACCTTAAAGAGCTTTTCCCACCTTAAGTAGCTTTTCCCACCTTAAGTAGCTTTTCCCACCTTAAAGAGTTTTTCCCACCTTAAAGAGCTTTCCCCACCTTAAGTAGTTTTTCCCACCTTAAAGAGTTTTTCCCACCTTAAAGAGTTTTTCCCACCTTAGTTAACTTTTCCCACCTTAAGTAGTTTCTCCAACTTGCGTAGCTTTTTCTACCTTCTGTAGTATCTCCTACCTTAAGTAGTTTTTCCACCTTAACTAGTTTTTCCCACCTTGGTTAACTTTTCCCACCTTAAAGAGTTTTTCCCACCTTAAGTAGTTCTTCACAACTTACGTAGCTTTTTCTACCTTCTGTAGTATTTCCTACCTTAAGTAGTTTTTCCCACCTTAAGTAGTTTTTCCCACCTTAGTTATCTTTTCCTATTTTAAGTAGTTTTTCCCACCTTACAAAGCTTTTTCTACCTTAAGAAGCTTTTCCCACCGTAAAGAACTTTTCCCATCTTACGTAGCTTTTCCCATCTTACGTAGTTTTTCCCACCTTACGTAACTTTTTCTACCTTACTCATGAACATTTTAAAGACGTCTACATTGAAGATGGTTTTGAAAAAATCTACAGGAAGCTTCTTTTCAGAGTGTACATAATGTAATTGGAACAAATCGATCAAATATTTAACTTTTATTAGCAATTTAGACATAAAAATGTTTCATAAGTTGGCATAAGTTGTCTAGTGTGACTGGGCCTTTAAGTAGTTTTTACACCTTAAGTAGTTTTCCCACCTTATGTAGCTTTTTCTACGTTAAGTAGTTTTCCCACCTTAAAGAGCTTTTCTTACCTTGCGTAGTTTTTCCCACCTTACGTAGTTTTCCCACCTTACGTAGCTTTTTCTACCTTACGTAGTTTTCCCACTTTACGTAGCTTTTTCTACCTTACGTAGTTTTCCCACTTTACGTAGCTTTTTCTACCTTAAGTAGTTTTTCCTTTTGAAGTATTTCCCCTCTGAGTTCTTGGTTCTGATATTCTGTCCTCAGCTCAGTCCTGTCAGAGTTTGAGGAGGTGTTAATAAGACCCTCAGAGCTGTCTTCCATGTCAGAAAACTGCCAAAACAATTATGTTTGTCATGTTGTTATTTCCTCCGAGCTCTTCGTCCTCTGAATAGAATAARAGACTTTTATTAGCCTGCAGACTAGTGGCAGCACTTTTACTTAGCTGTTGTTTCAGCTGCTGTTGTTTCCCTCCTACATGTTTTCTGACAGTTTTTGGTGAATCCTCTGCTGATTGACACTTCCTCATGATGTTTCTTGTCTTTTTTTTAGCATGTCACATATTTTACTAACATGTAGTTCCTGTGAAACCTAATTAAAACTTTCAGGGCTTCAAACAAACACTGATGAAAGCCTGATCTATTGGTTTTCTTAATAATACGTTGGGGTTTTGTCACTTCCTGAAACCAGCTTTGAAACGTAGCGGACTGTTTCCTTGTTTGGTGTTCCAGAGAAATGCAGAGGTATAAACTAAAATGTCAGCTAAATTGATGCTTTTATCTTAATTTGTTTTAAAATTTCTAAAGATTTGACTGAAAACAGGATCCTGATCCATCTCTCAGATCTTTCYTGGACTTTAATTCTTCAAATCTTCTGATGGCATAATTTTGAGAAACCTCATGAAAAACCACCTTTTATTCAGTGTTTTACTTTCTTCCAGCCTCGGTCCTCCTACACACAGTTTCACTGCAGCTTGACTGAGCTGCAGTCTTTACCAACTCGGCACATTTTTACACCTTTTTTTGTTTGCATCTTTACAGGAACAGTCCTGCTCTCCTGTTGACTAAAAACATGCATTCATGTTCGGGTACTTTCGTGGTATTTTTACCTCAAAACGAACCTTCCTCCAGCCAGAAAAAAATTCTTGCGTTGAGGTAAAACTGGAAGCAGTGAGTCATCTTTATGTGACTCATTTCTGCTAAGAGGCCGTCAGAGATAAAGTTCTGCTTTTCACTTTCAACTACACGTCCACGGGGTCAGTTTGTTCCTTACTGAGTCGTTTTCTGAGAACTTTGATCCAAAATTAAAACCAGATCACCCCAGACTTGGGGTGAAACAGGAAATATTCAACTTGGTTGCACTCATACATTGTTCTTTTCCAACCAAAATAGCATCTGATAAGAAACTTGTAAGAACCAGAATAGTTCCTGGAGAAACTCTTAAAGGGTTTGCCACGTGTCACCCAATTTTAAATCAAAATTTGAATTTACTGTTTATTGACGATCACTGCGCTCTAGTACCATCCCAAATTTGAGCAAAATWTGTCTAAAAATGGCTGACTGATGTTCAACTTTGCATTTTAGTTATAGCGGCCATCTTGGATTTTTAATTAGCATTCAGAATTTGTTAAGGCTTATTCTTGGCTACTACTATACCAGTTTTTRGCTCTATGGCTGAATTARTCTTTTTAATTAGCATTAGCRGTTAGCTTACCTTGTGATTAGCATTCAGAATGTGTTGAGTTAGCTTTCAGCTACCACCCCACCAAATCTCAGCTTTGTATGTCTTAACACTGCTGAGCAATCTGGGTGCCATGTTGGGTTACATGTTGTTTGGTCAGTCAAGAGGCTAATCTGCCTAGTAACAGCCTCAGCCAATCAGAAGGCCTGATTGTGATGTCGTCACAGGGAGGGGCAGAAAGGATCTGCCGCACTTTCAACATGAGAATATCTTTGAAAAGTTTAGTTCAGACAACCAGCCGCTGTGTGAAAACTATAAGATCTATTGAAATAATTCTTRAACTGTGAGTGACAGAAGAGATTGRTTCTTACTCATGGAAATTTTAAAATTTGTACAGCTCTTCATTTCAGAAATGTGATGAATTTTAATAGGTTGTTTTTTTTTTTTTGCATCTGAACTGCGTCACAAAAATCTAACATTGAAAACATAGAACAGGAAGTGGTACCTCCCTGACTTGTGACACATTTTGAGAGAAAAACGTTTGTCCTTCAGCAAAACTAGAAATATTGCCTGAAAGAAGACAAAAATACCTACGTTTTGATTTATAATTTGTCTGTGTATCATGAAAATTGTGCCTGTTGGACGTTGTTTGGTAAGAAATATTTTAAAAGCGAGACAGCTCTCACTGTAGGTCACATGACTGAGGGGCAGTCGGGAGCTTGTCTCGATGTGTTACTATGAGGATTTTTGAGGTTTCTTTCTTACCGGTAACTCAAACCACCACTAAAAGTAAAACCACACCTCCCATCGCTGAGCCRGTCGTTTTGATGTAACATTTGTCGRGCCGCATTAATGTACGACTATAAAAATAAAGATATAAAGTATAGGGATCCTGTTTTTGATAATAATTGGTCCCTCCATTCAGCTGATATTGCGAGCCCTAATTACTTGACAAGAATGAACTCTAAATGAAATTAAGGTGTTTACTGGAATTGTTGACAAACAGAATTTGCAAATTTGATGTTTTTAAATTAATAAATAAATATCTCTTGTAGTCATAAAGTTGTGCCTGGTGTCTCAGACACGATGAAGTGAMATAACGTGCACAGACAAGAGTACGGTTTCTCCCAGGTTTGAGTTTATTTTCTCAGTCCAGCTCTTGTCTGACCTTTTTAATAAAATGAGTAAATGAAACATTGCAGCTGAGTGACGGACTTCATCTGGTCTGTCTCCTCCTCCGTCTCTGATGTTAGGAATCCATTAGTTTGATCTGATCTCTCCTCCTGAAGGCTTTTGGTTCTGTTTTTTCTCAGTTATTTAACAGATTTGAGCGTTTTTGTGCTGCAGAGATGTAAGCAGAGGAGCACARCTGAAATGTTTTAAAACCTTCAGAAATGTCTGATCATGATGTTTGTACCCATTTGTTGGTCTGGTTCGTACCTCCCACGCTGCAGCTCTGATGCAGACGTGTTTATTCCCTGCAGTTTACACAACAGCTTCTCTCATTATGCGTTCCCCCCGGGACCTGAACGAAGAGGGTTTAGAAGACCCTCCTCCTCGTTGTGACGCTCGTCAGAGCGAGCGCTCGCTTCTGAAATGTGTTTTCTGCTTTTTGCCCCTCAGGTTCGCGGTCATCGCCTCGGGCTGTGCCAGCTGCCCCCGGCTGGTGTGCCGCAGGGACGGGTGCGGCGCCGAGTTCTGCTACCACTGCAAACAGGCRTGGCACCCCAACCAGACCTGCGACTCGGCCCGCCAACAGAGGGCCCAGTCCCTGCACACCCACTCGCCCAGCTACACCCAGGAGCAGGGTCCTGGTGAGTGTCCTCCCCCCACAAAACAAACAAAGAAACAAAAACACACCTGTGAAGCTGCAAACAGACTCTGCAGATTTCTGTTCTGAATAACTTTCTGCAACTTCCTGTCAAACTTTATCAGACGTCTGTCRCTCCGCCCGTCAGGAAGCCGTTCCCTCCGCTTCACTCGTCTCCTTTTTTTATCTCCCTTTTTCTCAGT